TGATGTCTCCTCATACCTTTGGAGATCCTACCCAAGTCTTAGTGTTATAGTGAAAAGACTCAACATTGGCTGTGTGTAGGATCAATTCATCCATTGGTGCTGATCTGATCTTTAAGGGCCCAAGCACCTTTATGCATTCTAAATTACCATTTTCAAAAGCTAGAGATTCAATGAGTACTCACCTATCTTCTGGATCTACTACCCTCATTTGTACAGCATTAGTCAATCTTTGCAAAAAGTAACTAATGGGTTCTTTTGGACCTTGTATAACCTTAGTATGTGACTCAATTCTTTTCCTTGGTTCTTGAATCTTGTCCCAAGCATTCAAGGCTGCTGTAAGGCATAGGGACAAGATGTGTTCATTTATGTAGCTTTAGTGTCTGCATCAGCATAATGGCCCTCACCAAGACTTTGATCTCATAACCTTTGATTCTGTTTTGATGTCAAAGGTCTTGGATTCTTCCCTCAAATATAACTTCCACTGCAGATGTGGACCAAGTTCTAGAATAGCTGAGTCTAATTGAAGCCAGTCATTTGGAGTTATTCTATTTCTTGTAGCCCATGCCTTTACTAAGTCTCACATATGGTGAATGCATGCCATAAGAAACTACTGCTTCCTTAATACCTTTTAAATCTTTCATATGTATAGTCTTCCCATTTGCATTCTGTCTATCCTCCTTGGTGTTCTTGCTGGCTTTTGAATAATAGTAACAAGATAGACCATAGCAGGTGATGATGATGATATGGCCTTTGATAAGTCATCTCTGACTCTGAAAGGTACTGATTAAGGTAAATTTTTTTTTATTATCTTATTTTGTACCTTAACTCCTGGTGTATCAGTTTTAAGAAGGTATTCTATGGCCTGTAGTCTGTGCACCATCTGAAATATAAAAACTTCCAATGATTTCATTAAATCAGTCAGTTTCTTGTTTTCATCATTTACATATGATTCCAGAGATTTAATATTGTCATCCTTAGAAATTATTTGTATGACATGCAGATTGCCTTCAAAAAACAATATTCTATTTACTCTTAGACATGGAACGATATTTTTCTGTTAAGAGTTCATTGCCATGTTACATTTTGTGAATTCTGTTTGTCAAATTATGATTGTCATTTTCATTTGTATGAATCCTTTCTGCTAAGCTCTCATTACCAGTCTGTAAAGTCAATCATTTCTATAAGTTCCTCATTCTTAGCTATATAATCAAACCATTTCTTTAAGGATATGATATGGATTACCAAGATAATAGCAATATGGCTAAGAGTGTACACAACCCAGATAGGTTGAATACCGCTTTTAAAATTCTACCCAAAGTAGAAGCAAAAAGATTTTTAAATTCCTGAATGGTAATATTGTCCACCATTGTTGTAGTAGTAGTTACCAAATTGTAAGAAATAAATTTTTATTAATTTATTTGCTAGCTTAAAATGCAAATCTATCCAGTAATTTACCTCAAATTAAGTCCTCAGAAAGTCATGTCTCTTACAGTCTTAACTTGAAGTTGCAATGATGACATTTGGTCAGCAGGTGTTACAGATATACTGCCAAAGCAAGTCCAAAGACAGTGAAGCTACGGGCTGACTTTTCCAATGCTGTCCAACCTTTGGACACTAAGCAAAAACTCAAACCAAACTAAAGAGAAAAGGAAAAAAGGAGGAACCTGTGTGCACTGATTGCCAATCACCAATCAGGGTGTGGCTGAGTGAAGCCGTGAGCTGTGGGCTGAAGCCATGACCCGCAGGCTGAAGCCGTGAGCCAGATTGGATGTGCTGACTCTAGGAAGTCTCGAGGTCTGGGAGTGTGTCCCTTAGTCTAAATAAAAGCTTGTTCAAACCACCAAATTCAAAGAAAAATGTTCTAGGGATTGTGTAAGCCACTGGCACTGGGTAGAGGGGAGTAGCAGGGAGTCAGGCACAGTCTGATTGACTGAGGGAGCCCATAGCTGCTAGTGGCTTTCTCAGGGCTGGACTGGGACCCTCATGTAGTGATTTGCCTCTGTCCTGCCATTAAAGTTCTTGCCATGTGGATGCCAAAATGTAAATGGAGTTCTTAATTGGTCTAGATAATAAAAACCTGGAGTCAGGTATAGAGGAAAATGCTGAGATATCAGAGAAAAAGGAGTAAGCGACAGCCATACCTTACCTCCTTAGCGTCTCAGCAGACCAGAGCGAGTTCCTGTTTCTCCCTGCTTACATCCTGTTTCCTCCCGGCTATCTCACTTCCTGTCTGTCTCTACAGACCTTCAGACCTCTATGGTTAGCAAGTGTCAAGCTCCATTCTCTGACCTTCAGACAGGCTTTATTTGTACAAGCAAGATATCACCACAGAGCTAGAGAAAAAGCATTGCCTCTGTCCACTCTGTGAGCCAGAGAGTACATCCCTTGATCCCCCACCCCCACCCGGCCCAGCCACATACCCCAAAGTCCCTGCCCTGCTGGCCGCTTTGTCTGGACTGTGCTTGCCTGTCTCCTCCCTTTCACGGCCAAGGTATTTGGAAACCTTGCTTGTGTTTACTTTTTGCACTGCCTCCTTTCCTCCACTCTGCCATACGTCAGTATTTAGATCTGACCTTCCCCGGATGCTGACTGTTATGACCTGTTTTAGGTGGCACCTTTCCCTGACTTCTCAGCTCCTCCTCTCAGATGCTCTCCTAAGCTTTGTGGTCCCTCAGTTTACCTGACAGCTCCACAGGCATCCTCCACCTTCCTGTTCACTGCTCTACAATTGGTTTCTAGTCTTGTTTCTGCTTCTGGTTTTTATTTTTGTGTTTTGCCTTCCCTCTTTTGATCCCCCATCCTTTTGTCTTTATTTTTGTTTGGTTCCTCTGTGTTTCATGGGCCTCACAGCACAAACTAGTTGGGTATAGTACTCCCTACTAACAGTCCCCCATGTGGCAATATGTTATTTATGATTTATTAAAGCTTGCCTGAGGATTCGGAAGGCAAAGTCAGCCTCAGGCAGTGGTGAAACTGAAAGGATGAAAATACAGCCTAACTCTCTAATGACCACTAAAAGTTAGAAATTTAAGAAAAGTCTATCAGCATGTATTTAAAAATCACCATAGCTGCATGCCAAGCTCAGGAAAAAAGAAAAATACATGAAATATCTTGGTCACAATGACCAGTTTCTAGAAATTATTATTATTATTCATAACCACCTAGTTTCTGAAGAATGTTGTTATCCACAACAACAGTGTGGGAATTGTTATGGGTCATCCTGTCTACAAAGAAAATTAATAACTAAAAGAGATGGCACTCATGGCAAGAAGGGAAAACTAGAAAGAACAAGTGCCTCTGCCAATAGATATAGATAACTCCCTGACTGGACAGTACATTCTCCCAGCCACTCAAGGACAAGGCCACTGAGCCCACTGGTCCTAGAGAAAGAAAACCCCCTAACCTTGCAGGTGCACTAAACAATCCCACCTTGTAAAAACTGTGTACTCTATGAAATCTCTGTAACCTAGGAAACTTTATTAACTATTCCAAGTTTTGAACTATCCCATGACTTTCCTTTTAGGCCTAGTGAAAATAACAGGCTAGCTTTGAAACTGGCCTTCTTAGCTTTGATGTAAATCCTATAAAACTATCTCAATTCTGCCCTCAAGGTCCTCAGTCCTCTACCCCTGCATGGCGTATGACTGTGGACCCAGTGCACTTGGAATAAAAACTTCTCATGCTATTTGTATCGAGACCGCTTCTCGTGAGTGATTTGGGGTGTCGCCTTTCCTGAGTGGGAGCGTGAAGGTCCATGCTCTACAGGTCTTTCAATACACACCAGCAGCCATAAGCTAGGAGGTGGTGGTACACACCTTTAATTCTAGAATTAAGAGGTACATGTATCTCTGTGAGTCCAAGGCCATCCAGATTTACACAAGATTGATCCAGTCCTAAGGAGAAACAGCTCACTCAAAGATGATATCAGGGATCACACACCTTTAATCCCAGAATTAGGGAGGTATATAAGTCAGGAGCAAGGTCAATATCAGACATTCATCCTCCATCCTTTGAGGACAGGAACACATTGAAGTCTCAGGATTTTCCATCCATGCCGAGGAGAGGCTTCAGTCTGAGGTTTGGTGGAGCCAAGATCACATTTGTCTCTGGTAGCATGAGAGCTAGTGATCAGCTGCTTTGATTTTCTGATCTTCATTTTGAAGCTTGAACCCCAGTATCAGTCTCTGGGTCTTTTATTTATCAAGCAACACCCCAGTTTCGTTCACTGATATAATTTTGTCAGACCTCCGCTTCTCAAGCACAGCTTGGTCATGGCTTGTGTAAAGCCCAATGGTTGACTTGTCTCCTAGTCATTGAGTGACTAGGAGAAAAGTATGAAAGACAGTATGAAACCACAGTGTCCCTACCCCTCATAGCAAACACCCTTTAGGAGCAGGCAAAGAGTCCCAAACGCACAGCCTTCCCCTTCCTGGGGTCTGACTATTCCTTCTTATGCACCATGATACCCTCTGTCCTGTGGCTCTTTTTGTTTGAACTGTTTATTCTCCTCTCCATCAGTAAATTCAGTTTACTCCTCAAACAAGGTTTATCCAGTCTAAATTTGGTTTGATCATCACTTTTCCTTAAATGTGAGCCCCCTTTCTCTGAACTCTGTTAGAGCAGAAAAAATAGCCCTTACCATTCAACCCACTCGTTCCTCTGTTAAGGCAGGAACATTGCCCCCATGGGCAAGGACACTGGTACTCAGAGGGGTAGAGGAACGTGTTTAGACACACAGCAAGGAAGGACAGAACTGGGACTCAAACCAGGTCTGTGTGACCCTCACCTAGTATTCTGCTGAGTTAGGACTGTTTGAACTGGAAAGCCCAGGTCCCGCCTCCCTGCTCTGTTCCCAGCAGCCCCATTGCTGAGGCAGAGCCTCTTGGTCCTCAGAGGTAGGTGTATAGAACACGGTGGTCTTGATGGGCTCATGAGTGGCACTGGCGAGGGCTCCCCTGTGCCTTCTCACCCTTCTGACTCCCCACTGTCTTCTCTCTCAGGGATATGATGTCATCAGGAATGTACAAAATGGACAATGGCAAGCCTTGCCTCAACAACTGCTTTCCAGCCAAAAGTCTCCTTCGGATGCCAGAAGAAGGTGAGATGACTCCGGATTGCTGCCTTTTCTCCACACCCAGCTCCTGCCTCGCACTGTTCTTCTCACTTTGCCCTGTGTCTCCCAGTGCTGTCCCTTCTCATCCCTATTTTCGCAGCAGCTCCAGTGCCCTCTGTTCAGTGGCCTCTCACTGCTGACACCTCTAGAGACACATGCCATTCAGTGTAACCTACGCTTACTCTCTGCCACAGCCCCTTGCCGTTGTTTATGTTCCCTTCTTTTCAGGGCGGTTTTCACAGAGTATTCCAGCCTCTATTCCAGTTAGCCAAAGTCTTCAAATACACGAAGCCCTACTCTTCTCCCACGTTTTTCCAACAAACCACCCTATGAGCCCTTAATCTGTTATATATCTTCCTTCCCATTTCTCTGATTAAATGAGTAATCATTCTTCATTCAGCTCCTACATGAAACCACTAATACTTCTTTGGTAGTTTTTCAGATATCCATCTAGTTAAAAACTTCTCTGGAGCAGGGGCTTCTAAACAGAGCACAGCCATATAAATGAAACACTGTCTAGAAGATAGGTTGGTCTCTTGCTTTGGATGGGTAGATCAAGAGAGAAGCACACCTTCTCTAATCCCTGGTTTTGTGACTTGTTGCCCGATCTACTGTAAGTATTCCCTTTTCATCAGGGGGGGGTATTGACTAGGGAGACTCCCCAGTCAATACCAAAAATGTAATGCAAACCATATATGCATATGTGTGTATACATACATATAGGCATGTATATACTATATTTTCTCATACAGACTTGATAAAGTTTAATTTATAAATTAGGAATAATATGAGATTAACATACAGAGTACATAGAATCAAAGAATAAATAGAATAATTATGTCAACATGCTGCAGTGAATAAGTTATTTAAAAATTATCATTTATTTCTGGAATTTTCCACTTAATATTTTTAGGCTGTAGTTGAGTAACAGCAACTGAAAACATGCACATACTCTCTCTCTCTCTCTCTCTCTCTCTCTCTCTCTCACACACACACACACACACACACACACACACACTTGAATAAAGGGGCCTGTAGAATACATAGGATATTGATCGGCTCTCCTCTAGTCTATTCTCCAATCTTGGGGGGTTCATAGTGATTAGAGAAGGATCACAGGGCCTCGCACCTATCAGACCAGGGCTCTATCACAGAGCTATACCCCAGCCCTGTTCTCTCGGCTTCTCTAGAGTAATGTCATTTTTTCACCTAAGCCTCATTCCTGGACTTGTTTGAATCCCCTAGGGCAGTGGTTCTCAAACTTCCTAATGCTGACACCTGTAATACAGTTCCTCATATTGTGGTGACCCACAACCATAAAATAATTTTCATTGTTATTTCATAACTATAATTTTGCTACTGTTATGAATCACAATATAAATATCTGATATGCAGTTTACCTGGTATGTGACCCCTGTGAAAGGTCATTTGACCCCCAGAGAGGTCATGAACCATAGGTTGAGAACCTATGGATTTATGTTTTCTCATACTCAGTTTCCCTCCCTCCTCTTACAAATACACACACACACACACACACACACACACACACACACAGAGAGAGAGAGAGAGAGAGAGAGAGAGAGAGAGAGAGAGAGAGGAGGGAGAAGTATGTCTGCATGTGTTGGTATGCATACTCACTGAAAGCAAGGAAGTGTCAGTAGTGAAAAGAATATACTTGTTGCCTGGATCCTGGTTTCTAAACATCATTCTCCAATGAGAGGAGTAAGAGCTCTCCAGAGAAAAAGTGTTCACAGGTCTGAGGCAAGGAAAAAGAATTCAGGTTGGGCCTTGAACATCTTGTGGTACCAGAAAGTAAAGACGTGTCCAGAAAAACAACAACAACATTGAGGGCAGGTTGAAAAAACAAGCAGCCAGATGACAGAGCCAAATCTGGGACAGCTGAAATAGGGAAATAAATAATGGTAGAATTGGGTTTTAAAGCATGCAATAAATATTCATGAGTCCATAATGACATAAATAATCATTTAGGTCAATAAATAAGTAGGAGAGAAGAAATAGCTTTTCTTTGTGGTAAAAATCTCATTAATGAATACAGAAGACATGAGGGATATATAAAATCACCATTCAAATATCACAGTAATATTTTTCAGGTAAAATACACTTATGGATAATATATCAGTCAGGGTTCTTTAAAGTAATGCTAGTAGAAAATGTCTGGATGGATGGATGGATGGATGGAGAAGATGGGTAGATAGAATAGAAATTAGCTTATGTGACTTTAGAGGCTGAGGTAACTCCTGGGGAAGAGCTGGTTCTGAAGTTGTTTGTTTGTTTGTTTGTTTGTTTTGCTTCCTGATGGTGAGTATGGAAACCAATGCTTTGCACAAGTGGGCAAGTGTTCTATCACTGAGCTACATACCAACCTATTGTCTGCCCCCTTTCCTTCCTCCCTCCCTCCCTTCTTTCCTTCCTTCCTTTCTTTTTTTTGAAACAGTATCTCTAGGTAGCCCTGACTTTCTGACAACTCACTATGAAGACAGGTTGCCCTTGAACTCAACTCACAAAGATCTTCCTGCTTCTGCCTTGGAATGCTGGGATTAAAGGCATGTGCCACCATGCCTCACACCCATCCCTATGTAGTCTTGAAACAGGACTTCTTTTTCATATAAGAAATCTCAGCTTTTTGCTCCTTACTTTTTTCAATTAACCAAGTGTGGTAGGGCCACCTACATCATTAAATACCTCTCTCACTAACATCACCTCATCATAGATACTAGCTAAAACTACAAAATACTTCCACGACTACATAGTGCTGAACAATTGCATATTAAAACCCAGTAAAGCTGAAACACAGAAATTTAGGATGCTAGAAAAAATGGGTAGAAATATGAGAAACAAGACATTTGAACAACTTTCTAGGTATAGTTATTAATAACAAAGGTAAAAATAGGAACGTCTCAGTAGTGAAATTAAGCAGACCTCACTTTGAATGAGTGATCAAAATTAGCCCTGTAGGGCTGTAGAGGTGGCTCAGCATGGAAGAGTACCTGCAGCATGAATGAGGACCCATCCCAGCATCCATGTAAAGCCTGGGTGTGGCCATATATGCCTGTCACCCCATAGTTGGGGATAAAGACAAGAGGATGGGCGGGGGGGCTTTGCTGGCCAGCATAGCTGGAGTTGGGCTTCCAGTTCAACAAGAAACACTGTTTCAAGGAAACAAGATAATGAGTGACAGGGACATCTCACATATTTCTCTGGCTTCTATGTGAACACCTTCACACATGCACTCATACATCATGTGTGTGTATACCACACACACACACACATCAAATAAACATTGTAGTATCAATGTGTTGTATGATAGTACATTCCTATAACCCCAGCAGTCAGGAGGCTTGGGCAGGAATATTGTGAGTTTGAGGGCAGCCTGGGCTACATACTGAAAACCTGTCCCCAAAACAAGTAACCACCGTCAGAAATAAAGTGTAACAACCTCATGAGTTTCCTGAAATGATACACAGAGAAAGGCACAGCTTGATTTTGTGGTAGCTTGCCAAGTTCAAAGCGTCAGTCTAAACATGGGAAAGCATCAGACAAGTCCACACTGGGGAATATTTTATTTTAAATACTTTAATATTTAATACTTAACTGACAAGTGTCAAGGCTGCAGAAGGAAAAAGAAGAGTTGGAGAACCATCTCATCAATTGGAGCAGACTAAGGAGTCATGCCAGCTGAATGTGATGTGAGATCCTCGCCTGGATCCTGGTACAGGAGGAGGGCATTAGAAAACTGACAAAATTCAAAGAAGGAATAACATTAGTAGTTGATGTTGCATCAATGTTAATTGCTCAGGTTCAGTAATTGTGTGGCTGTTATATAAGATCAGAACAGAATATTAGGGAGGCTGTGTGGCAATTTGCACCATCTTCGCAACTCTTCTGGAAGTTTAAAATGATCTCAAAATGAAAAATTATGAAGAAAAACAAAGCAAGAAGTCCTCCCTTGATTCCCCCTTGCTGCTAAAAGTCTGTACTGTTACCAGGCTCCATCCAGTTTCAGCATTTTTATAGTTGGCCTCCCTGACCTTCCAGTCTCATTTCACATAGATCTCATGGCATGTCTAGGCCTTTCCTCTGGGCCACTTTGAGTTTTCACCCAACTCAGACTGCTATCTCTGGGATTCAGGGATATGAAGAGTGAGTCAAGGAGCATGGAAGCCTATTCCCTGAGTGGAACAACACTTTTGGTGATGGGGTACCAAACTTCCTAGCCTATGGCAGGAGTGGGAAATTGTAGTCAGACCTTTTCTGTCCTACCTAGCCTGTTTCACAATAACCACATGGAGATTTCTTATTAATCATGAAAGCTTGGCTGATAGCTTGGGCTTGTTTCTAACTAGCTCTTATAACTTAAATTAACCCGTATTTTTATTAATCTGTGTTCTATCACGTGGCTTTTACCTTTATCCCATTTTGTGTGTTCCACTTGTTCATTGTCTGGCTGTCTTCTCCCTCATCTCTGCCCTTCCTCCCAGTGTTCTCTCTACCCCAAAACCTACTGCCTATCTACTAGACAATTAAACCAATCTAATTGATGAATCTTCACAGTGTACAAAAAGATTATTCCACAACAGGAAATGCCTCATGTGAAGTCAGAGCAGGCAGAGCTGGCAATGGTGGTCACACGGGGACAGGCCCTAGAGGCAGGAATAGGAGTTGCTGCAGGCCAGAGCTAGACTGATCTGTGTCATCTGGGCCCTTTATGTTTCTGGGTCTTTTTGTTTATTTGTTCTTCTTCCCTCTGCCTAGACCGCCCTGATTCCATTGCTCATGTAATACATTCCTTCAGCTTACTAGATCTGCCTCATCCTGGTAGGCTTTCTGGGCTTGCACAGCACCTCACATATTATTGAACTCTTGGGGTCAGTGCTTCTACCCTGTTCATTCCCATAATCCCCACTCTCAGTGTAAAGTAGATGTCCACAAAAGTCCAAACAGATTATCATGTGGTCTCACTAAGTCATTCATTTAGCAGCAGTCACAGCGGCAAGTTCTGTGCAAGCCATGGGGATGTGAAGATAAGTTAGACAGGCCCCTGCTGTTACAGAGCTGCTATTCCAGAGAGGAATGTAGACAACAAATGAGTAAGAAAATAATACAATTACAGATTGCAATTAATGCCATAGGTAGATTAACTGCTAATGTGGAAGAGAGTAGATCATAGAATGTCATCATGATTTTTAAATGAACTTATGAATTTCATAATCTTTTGTTTTCTGTTATAGGATCCCATGTAACCCAGGCTGGCCTGAAACTTGCTATGTAGCCAAGGGTGACCTTGAACTACTGATCCCCTTGTTTCTGCCTCCCGGAGTACTGGGTTTACAGGCCTGCCCCACCGTAACCAGTTTTATACAGAACTAGGGGTTGAACCAAAGTCTCCACTCATGTTTGACAACACTTGACCAACTGAGTTACAACCCCAGCCCTCATACTCTTTTTGCTCAAGCATGGAATCCAGGTCATACACAGGCCTTACCCAAGAGATGGTCAATGGGAGAGTAATTGGCTAGCACCCGAGAGAGTTACCCTCTATACTGAGGGGGATCAGAGAGGACATCACATAGCAGGAAGAGTCCAATTTTGTCTCTTAAATGAGCAGTAGACTTAGGAGGCACACGTTTGGAGATAAAGGAAGGAATTGGACAGCTATCCCATCTTCCCCATTGTAAGCATTTTCATCTGTAGCCCACCCCTCGCTGAGCTTAGTGCTGGCTGAAATGAGACAGGGTGTATGCAGACACCCCAGCGGTGGTGAGTAACTTGTTCCAATCTTCCCCACAGGCCGAGGACACTGGTTAGTGTCTCGCAAAGGCAGCATGAAGAAGGGTGTGACTAAGGCATGCGCTGAAGGCCAGGAACACCTGAAGAAGGTTTCCTTCGAGACTGGGTTGAAGAAAGTATCTCGGCGGGATAGCCAGGCAGATGCTCTTGGGCACATCTTGGACCGGGCTTTTCTGGTGAGAGTAAATTCATTCCTGAGTATCTGGTAGCATTAGCTAAGGGAGGTGGAGTGAAGAAATGAGGACTCCCCTTCCCTGCCCTTGTCTGAATAGGGGCAAGGACTTGTCTTGTCCAGGTACCATTATTCCTATCCCATTCCAAGCCATGAGAGTGATGGTGGCAACTGAGTGTGGCTGATGATGAAAGAACCCTGGAAATTTCCTTTATCATGTGAAGCCTTTATATTCACCCTGTGAGATAGGTCCAATATTACCATCCTGATTTTATTGCCACTTATAGACAGGGATAAAGAGGTCCCCCATACAGCCAATAAATGGCTGGACCAGGATTAGATCCCTGATCTACTGACTCTAAAGCCTGTACCTTTATATTATGTAAAATAGCCAGATAGGGTGGCACAGACCTTTAATCCCTATACTTGGGAGGCAGAGGCAGATTTATCTCTTTGAATCTGCATAGTGAGGCCTTGCCTCCAAAAAAAAAAAAAAAAAAAAAGAAAGAAAGAAAGAAAGAAAGAAAGAAAGAAAGAAGAAAAAAAGACATCATATGAAGGGCAAAATCATATGTGAGTCAGAAAGGCAAGAGTGTTTCAGAAATAAAGGGTAAACTTGAGGACCCCATGTCAGTGCTGAGGAGGAGCAAGAGATTCCTGTGTGCCATGCTGTGCTCTGCTCTGGGGTGGGAGCCAGAGGGACCAGAGTGGTCCTGATCTCCCCCAGCCTTGGTCCTTTGGTTTTAGAATCTGCCTGGAAACAGGAGGAGCTCATGGTATTACTGCAGCTAGGCCTGAGGCAGGCAGTCTCTCTGGGGAGAGCTGGGGTGCCGGGTTGGAAACCAGCCAGGTAGTTTCCCATCTGTTCTATGCAATGCTTCAGGAGCTTTGCAAAGAAAGACGGGTTTTGTAAATTAATATTAATTGGTAGTGTGGTTCTCATTGCTCCCTGAAAAGAACTGGCAGCATCCCTTGTTTCCACATTCTGCTTATGAGTCCCAGGAGATGTGTAGCAGAGGTTGCGAGAGAACGCCACGTGTTTGGCTCCACCTGCCCTCGTGGAGCAGCAGAAGGTTTTAGCAGAGCTGTGAGATTTGTTTTGACTGTTATGACCACTCCTGGGAGTACAGCAGTACTAGGGTGGGACAGACCACATCACTCCTCAGTGTTCTCTTTCACACCCTTATTTCTAAATACAGTTGACCCTGCATATCCATTATTCCTTACCCATAGATTCAAACAACCACAAACTGAAATGTTTGAAAGAAAGCAAATTTCTTTCTTACTACACCCGTCCATATTTTTGTATTACTATGCCCTAAACCATATGGTCTAACAACGATTTACATATTTGTACTATACTAGGTACTATCAATAACCCAGTTATGGTTTGAAGTGTATAGGAAATACATAGGTTGTTAGCAAATATGACACCATATTTAAATGAGAGATTAGAGGCCTAGAGAGATGGCTCAGTGGTTGAGAATATCGGCTGTTCTTCCAGAGGACCTAGGTTCAATTCCCAGCACATACATAGAAGTTTAAGACAACTGTAACTCCAGCTCCAGGGAATCTGAAACCTTTTCTTGCTTCCACAGGTATCAGGCACACAAGTGGTGCACAGACATACAAATATGCAAGCATCCAGGCATATAGGATAGAGTTGATTTTAAAATTCTGAGGTACTTGAAAGTCCCTGTTTTCACTTCCTAGCATTTCCAGAAGTTGTGAGAGGGTAATTGTCCCCACATTTAATCGGCATGGCTTGTTACCTGTATTGCTGCTTTGGGTAGAAGAAGCAATGAGAATGTTTTTCAGAGTAACAGGATCTCTGTGCTGCCTGTCAGATCACTGGCAACTCAGATTGTACCACTGCACACAATGCAATGACCCCACACCCCCAAATATATCATTTTGGATAATAATATCTCTATGTTGGCACTAACTAACCAATCACCAAGCTTGTAACCTGGGATTCTACTTTATACTTGCCTCTTTCCATCAGTCTAACACTCACACCTTTACCAAGTCCTGGAACTTGTATTAAATAGTCACTAACCTTATCTTCCTTTCATCAATTATGCTACAACTCTTAACCCAGCCGCCATCATCTCTTATTGTACTAACCACACAGCTCTCTAACTAGTTCAAACCAATTAGAATGTTTTTCTTTGGGGGTCATTGAGAGGGCTCCGTGTGTAAGTGCACTTGCTGTGCAAAGCCTGACAACCTGAGTTCATTGCCCAGGAGAGAAGGTGGAAGGAGAGAAACAACCCCCCAAAAGTCCTCTAACCTTCATATGTATGACATGGTATGTGCACATATGCACACACACCCAGATGCTGCTGCTGTTAATAATAATATAAATAAGTAAATAAAATCTAGAATGCTTTTATTTCTTAGGAAGCCTGAGGCATTGTTTGAAATCTATTACATGATGGTTACATAACATCCTTCCATCTTTCTGCTCTGTCATCCTCAGCATGCTGATTTGTCCTCCTTTCCTGAATCCCTTCATTATTCCAAATGGCTGCCACAGTTCTGATCATCCTACACACACAGAGGACAACATCCAGAGGCAGAGAAGGGGTTGCCCCTGTACCATGCCTGTCTTTAGAAGAAAAGTCATTCCTAAGCTGTCACCTATTCCTACTTTCAGCAGCTAACATCTTATTGGCATGACCTACATATCCAATTATTGCTTGGAGGAACAAAACCTTGACAGTTGGCTGGGACAGGTTAAGGCTTGTTCTTGGGGCTGGAGCTTGGAACATGTCTGCTTTAGGGAAGGGAAATGACCTCAGTGTTCTCTACAGGGAAGACGTAGACAGATGTTTATTGGAAAGGTCATTAACAACTTCTGACAATACTGATTTTTATGAAACTGCTGTCAGCCACTACTTAACCCACACTCTTGTTCAGAACCAATGTGGATCCGAATGGTCTCACAACTCCCTCTCTAACCTTGTCTTGGCTACCTCTCAAAAACACCATGCCTTCTCCTGCCTGGGAGGTCTGCATATTCCCTACCCACTTCATAGGATTACTTCCTGTTCTGCTCTTAGCCCTCAGCTGGAAAAATCACTTCCTCAAGTAAATGTTTCCTCCATCTAAGACTGAGGTTGGGACCTCCTGTTTCCATACCCATGGGATCTGATATTTCTCCTTTAAAATAACTATTACCTTGCCATGTACTTGCCATTTGGCTTCCCACTAAGTGAAGATGTGGAAGGCTTCTGCTGCTTCCCCACTGTCTTCCCTGAACATGTTCAGAGACTCTTCAAAGTCGGCCCCATATGGGATGGACCATAATGGGTGAGACAAAGACCTCTGCAGCCTTCAACTAGAAGATATTTGGAAGCTGATATTAGATCCTAACTTTCTCATTATGTACAATGACATGTTGTAGACCAAAATGTGCAGTTTAATGATTATAGATTTTAATTCAATTCATAGGTCAATCATGCAGTAGCTGTAGAGCCTCAGGCAAGGCACCTTCTGTCTCTTAGTCTTATTAGAGAGGGGAAGAAAACCCTTTAACTAAAGTAATACCAAAAGAGAGAGGTAAACCCTTTGACACAACTAAAAAACAAGAAGAAACACTACTGACATTAAAGAGGATTCAGTTAGGATTAAACAAAAGTTAGTTAATATAGTCAGTTTGTGACTCAAAAGTGGTACTCAGTTAATATTGGCAAATGAATGAATGGATGGATGAATGCACATGCAAACAAATGACAAGTTTTATGAGAGTGCCCAATGAGAAAATATTCAACAGTAATAGCTTAACTCATTATGTTTGGTTGGGACCTTGGGGACCAACTCTGTGTCCTGTGTTTCAGATGAAGCACCATTGTGTTAAAAAGCCATCAGAACTTTGCACTGTCAACGTGAGCGGCATGAAGTTCTCCAAGGTGAGGCCAGCAGCAAAGATGTAACAGCCAGATGTGAGAGGGCACCCGAATGCTCTGGTTTGTGTATGGAGCCTCCACAGTCCTTGGGCACTAGAAATCAGTTATGTAGAAAGAGGGAGGACAGAGGGCAAACAAGGGCTCAGTGGGTGGAAGCAATATTCACATACAAAGTTTGCTTTGAATTTGGTATTCATATAAATTAGAAAAACTCACTTAAGGAATCTGTTCCTGAGACTGGGGCATAGAACATGGGGTGAATTGTCCAGGAAATCTGGATAGAGTATAATTCCTTGTGGGAAGTTCCCAACACATGAGCTTACCATCTGGTAGGAGTAAAGAAGCTCATATGACAAGGAGGAATGTACAAGAATGTATATGGCACCATTGTTTTTAATGATAGAAATTTTGAAACAGATTAAATGTGCATCCACTCAGAAAGGATAACTGGTCATGTACTCAAGCAAGGAATTCAAATGGATAAACTGGACTCCAAAGAGTTAATACATTTCTCACATAAATCTCAAAATCATACTATTGAGTAAGAAAGGCATATTGAATGATAAGACTGTATGGTTATAACGTTTTAAAACATTTAAAGAACCCTTCGTATAGTTGATGGATATAAACACATGAATGTATGTAATACTCAAAAATCAAGAACAGGGATGTGGTATGAGATGGGGGGGCACATGGAGGGCTTGATGACAAGTCCTCTAATGGTTTCCTTCATGTTTAAACAGTTAAGATTCAGATCTGTTAAAAATGGGTCATCTTCAAAGATCACTCACTGTACTTTTTGATGGTTGAAGTATTTCAGAGTAGAAGAAAATGAACAGAAAAGCCCTCACAGCTCTCCCCACCCCATAGCTGCTCTTGCACTAAGAATGTCTCTTAGTCCTTTAGGCATTTGGCCTCTTGGCAGCTTCACTGGTGTCCCTGCAGGGCTCCTAGGCAGGAAACTAATCCTGTGTTTTTTCTGGAATTCTTTCTGACAGGCAAGGGAAAAGGACTTCAGACATTTCACCTCTGTGATTTATATCAATGCCTCTGAAAACCTGCTGCCTCTTGGTGAGTTTCCTCTTCTTGGACACTGTCCTCCTGGCCAGGAAAATCACTTGTGATTGGACTTGTCTGCCCATCCAACTGTGACTGGTCATTTGTGTCTTGTAGAGTGGGATAGTAAGGGCTCTGGAGAGCACTCAGATCTGCACTCTGGTCCTGTGCTATCACCAGAGCACGTTCTGTGATCTGATGCTCCTCTCTCCACACTCACATTCCTGCAACCTTGTAGACACCTTGCAAACTCCAGGGAGAGAGGCCTTTAAACCTGCATATGCTCCTACCAGAGAGAAAGCCTCTTGGTAATTCAGCAAATCTGCAGTGACCCCTGCTGGTGTCTGAATGTGTGGCCTTTAGAAAGAAGTGTGCCTGAATTACTGCTGTGGAGAGCTTATGATTTGGGCTCAGACTCAGACCAAAAGCAGGGTACATATAAGCAATGGTACAGGGAAGTCAGGAAACACTATGCAAGCATACAAGGGGACTTTAACCCAGACAAGTGAGTCAGGAAAATATAAGATCACCCAAGCTAAAATAAAAAGATAAATAGGCTGGGCTGGCAAGATGGCTGAGTGCATCAAAGCACCTGCTGCCGACCTCAGTGACCTGATTTTGAGCTGTGTGCTGCCTAGTCAGGAAGATTGCTTCCAACTGAAGCTAGACATGGAGGGCTTTGAACTTAGTCCTCCAGACAGTAGAGTCCTGGAAGGCTTTTCAACAGGGAAGCTCAGTGAAGAGGGATGGAGGCCTGGAGACTTGAAGGATCAGTTCAGTCTTCCACGGGAGGGGAGATGATACTTGAGACAGGCCAAGTGGGTGAGGGGGATCGAGAGAGTGATTTGGGAAGAGCGCGACTCACAGGGCTTGGCAACCTGTGGAGATACAAGGAAAGGGATGAATCAAGGGGACCACTCAGAGACAGTCCAGGAAGACTGTTGATGAAATGAGCTTGCTTTGTCTCCATATATTGGATGGGAGCTTCTAAAGAGACATCTAACGAGATCCCTGCCTTAGAAGAAAATGTGGTCTGCTAGGATATGCCTTGGCATAAACATGCCAAAAGGCATGCGGAAAGACAATCAGCCTCACTAATAGGAGAAAAAACACTGGGATACTATGCTATGCCCATCAAATGTTGGCAAGTATGAAAAAGACTGATAACAGCCGGCACTGGTGTGGGGGTGGGTACTCTTGGTGAAAGTGAACTATAAGAAGGTGATGTGACACCATGGCCGTAATTTGGTATCATCTCTTAAAGTTTATAACAGTGCCAGAGAGCTGGCTCAGCTGTTTAGAGACCCGAGTTCAGTTTCCAGCATCCATGGGGCAGCTCACAGCCACCTGTAACTCAAGTTCCAGGGGTCTAGCACCCTTTTCTAGCCCCCCATGAGCTCCTGCACACACTGGGTGCACATGAAGTCACACAGGAACACACGCATACACTAGATGAACAAACAATACATATGTACATAAATGTTTTAAAAACTGAAATAGTTGTTGCTTTTAGTAGTCCCACTTCCAGGACTATATTCTACAGGGAGATTTACACAAGGAGATTCCCCAACGGGCAGTCTCTCATTAGGCCTTACTGATCATTCTGACTCACAAGCCTTCTATAGGCCACACAGTACACCAGGTTCACTTAGAGGGTTCTGAGTAATTCTATACTATGTTGCACAGCTTCTTCAGTGGAATCCGCATGGCTACCCATCTAGCAGGGCTACCCACTAGCCAAGTGTCACCCCAGATGCAGTACACAAACTGTCACTGGGTAAATGCTGGAATCCCCCTTTCTTGGAAATCTCATCAATCACAGGAACCAATGTTCCTTGTTACATCCTATAGTTCTGTAGCTTGTAGCATTCTTATGAAGGACATGTGTGGTTATAGGAGTCACCACTTACAGAAAAGCATCCCCTTTGGATGTTTGTGATTTATACTTTCTCCTGGACCAGACACAGTTTACCAGTATGTGATAATTTTTTACCACAAGTAATAGTTGCCTAGTAACACAATTACCATAGCATGTGCTTCAGGTTTCCAAGGAAACCAGACTAGGAAGAAAATCTAAGATCCAGTTGTCATAGCCTAAATGTTACCAATAGGAAAAGGGTTAAATTGCAGCATGTCTAAACCAGAAGGTAGCTAAGATATTGAACAAATCTGTTTGTCCTAACATGGAATAATCTTCAAGTCACACTGCTAAAGGAGAAAAGCCACAATACAGCATGTATTCCATGTTTATAAAAAGAAGATTGTATTTCAACAAATACATGAGGTATATACATGGACTTTTAAACAATTGACACACAGTGTTGGGATTAAAGGAACATTTTTTTCCTGTGATGTTTGACTCTTTGGGGTGAGCATATTAGCATCTCTAGTCAGAAATAATAGAGATTATCTAGGAGTATGGCTCAGTGGTAGAGTTTGCCTGGCATGTACAAGGTCCTGGGGTTGATTCCTGGCCTGGGAAGAATAAAAAAGAAAATTTTTAAAAGGGCTTTGCATTTGAACAGACTTACTACATTCAATTCCTCAAGTACTAGCAATCATATTTCTAACAAGTCACTTAGCCTGCTGGGGCTTCCATTTCCTCAGCCACAGAATGAAAGCCGTAAATTCCTGTTAGTGAGCATGGTTAGAGATTTTAAATTTTCTAAATGGTTGTTTTTATTTTTAAGGGTGTGTGTGTGTGTGTGTGTGTGTTGCGTATATATACATGAATGCAGGTACCCATAGACAGCAGGAGAGAGAGGTCATTGGAACCTCTGGAGCTGGAATGACAGGTAGTTAGAAGCCACCCAGTGTGTCTGCTGGGAACTACAAGAGCAGTAAATCCTCTTAACCTCAAGCCAGCTCTCTAGCCCTAAGGTTAGAGATCTAGAGGCCTGCTACATAAAGGGCAGTCTACAGCCTTCCCCCGATGGAAGCTCACAAAATGGCCATTATTAGTATCTTTGTCTTTGAGCCTTTACAAGCTCAAGTTTCTCTCTGTCTATTCCCATGTAGATGTTTTTCACACATTCCCAGCCCTAAAGGAACTGGAGCTTGCATTCAATGGCATCAAGATGGTCTATGTGAAATATGGAGACTTCAAGGCATTGGAAGTAAGTTGGAGGTAGGGAGTTTTTTATCCTACCCATTACCCTGTAAGGAATTAGTATAGGGGACTTTACAGATTTCATCTTTGGGGAAGGGTTCTCTGGGCTTTCACTGCTAGGCCCTTCGTGGGCAGCCTCTGGAGAGGTTGTTGGTGATGATGATATTGGTGGCAGTGGTGATTGTGTTAGTGGTACTTGTGGCAGATAGGTAACTATGACCAAGGTGTATAAGTGCCAAGGGTCACTCATGTTCAGGAGAATCTACAGAAAAGTGAGTTTAAATGGAGTATCATAGAAGGAAGAGTTTCATAGGAGATGGGTCTCTCTGGGTGTTTGAAGAGCTGTGGAGGTTAAGAGTTAGCTGCAATAAGATAGAGACATTATGGACCAATTAAAAAACACGCGACCTCAGTAAGCAAGGCTGTTCCCAGTGGGCTCAGGTAGTACAGGCTGTACATCTGTCCCATAGACCTAGAGATTAGGATGGACAAAATAGGGTTCCTGTACATTCTAGGTGCATGTGCATCCCAAATTTTCTCAGAACCTTGGGATAGTTAATTTGGTTTGCATATCTTCATGCTTTATTGCCTCTTGTGACTTTGATAGACTAGAAGGCCACTTTTCACAAGGGAAGACGTTTTTGTCACTACCTAAGAGTCACTGCACACATGGAGTAGAGAGCAGAGTCAGAAGTGGGGCTCAGCCACCTGGCCAGGCTCACTCCCCACCCCCACCCCCCGAGTAATGCACTCTTCCTTTCGAGCTGGCCTCATAGGAAAGCATTTCTATTCACACCTTAGCAGCATGGCTACATGCCATTAGCTTTGGTAACTTCAATCTGCAAACATCAAAGGTCAGCCATGCTTCATGTGTGCCTCACTTAACTTTTCAGAGAGACTGGCCTTTTCAAGGAGTAGGTGGCCTTTATATGCCAGAGTTTGCAAACACTTTAACATGTTGGAATGGGCATCCTCCCAAGATGGACAGTGTGTCCTCACATTCTGAAAACATTCCGTGTTGAATGCAATGCTGACTTCCCCCATGGTTTCGAGTCACACTGACGATGACAACAGTTCCCTCAGTAGGCAAACTCTCAAAGTCCAACAAAATCAGCATGGTGATATTATATTTTGGTGCAGAGAGTGGGAAGTAGATCCTAGACATTAGAGATCCAGGGAGCCATTGCCCTGGCCTCCAGGCCCAGGCATCTCCTATGGACTTCCTTCCATTGTTCTTTGAAACAGAAAACAGTCACTGAACTCCCGATGATTGCATATTGTTCCATGAATCTTGTCTTCCTCCTTCCAGATATCCCAAACAGAAGTGCCAGTGGACACCCAGAGGGTGTGATCACAGGCTTTAGCTTTGAATGACTAGTTTGGAACAAACCTATGTTCGTCATGATTGATTTTGTATATGCCCTGCTTGATAATTGCATCCGATGAAGATTATTTATCTCACAGACCTGTTATTAGTCAAAAGAATTTGTCAACAAAAGAAAACAGACTCATTTTATGGTGCAGAATATAAATGAGAAAAGGAAATCTCTGGACCAGTCATTTGTTCTTGACTGTGATTTGTAAGGGCTCCCTAGGAAAAAAATATAAACATGTCAAATATCCTGATTTGCATCTCACAGTAATGAATACTTTAATGTGTAATAAAACTCAGCTGTGACTCAGCAGATACAGCAGCCAGACTAGGAATCTCTGTCCTTGGTTGTCAATGAACCTGCCACAACGGGAGCAGCCCAGAGTGGAATTCCTCCATAGTCAGTTTTGGAAAACTTAACTTTGCTGTGATTTTATTCTCTGCTTACTAATCTGAAAACTGTCCAGTAGGACCCCTACCCCAGCAGCCAGAAGCTTCATTTGTAGTCTTCGTCCTGTCAGCCCTTTGCTGGCACTTTGCCTTGCCCAAATAACTTGCCCTTGAGAATAAAGTTTCCTCCTTTGTAAAATCTGGGCTGGCTCTAAAATTCTGTGATCTATGATTCTACAAATGTTTATTTCTTGAGATACCCTTCATGGAAAGCCAATCTGGATCCAACATTAAGTAGCCAAAACAGTAGAATAGGTGTCTACATGTTTTTGTTTTTGTTTTGCCTGTAAGAGACAATAAATTAAGTACATTAAACTTTGGGCCCATCTGTTATAATTAATTATGATGGTCATGACTAGTCATCCATGCCTCTGTAGAAGGAAGAACTATAGACAGAACAGAGGTAAATGAGCATAATGTTGAAATGTGAACTTCTCATAGTTGCCACATCGTGCACACCATTCTTCCTTTACTTATTTGGTTTTTAGTCTGTTTTTTGAAACAATGTAATCCTGGCTATCCTAGAACTCATTCTGTAGACCAGGCTGACCTCAACTCACAGAGATCTTCCTGCTTCTGCCTCCCAAGGACTGGGATTAAACCCAGCCTCTTGTCTTTATTTTCACGTGCAAAGATCAAGATTGGCCACAAACAAGTGTCAGGCTGGATTTGGCTTGTTAGCCTTGGCTTGCTGATGCTTGAGCTTGAATACTGGTGAACAAGTTCAAATGTGAATGGGATGGAGAATTGAGAGTTGAGGATGGGTAGTGCTGTGTGAGTCTGCAGAGGTTGCTAAGGAGATGAAATTGTCTTATGGGATAGGGTCCATGGAGTTTTAAGCTGGAGTATGTTGTGGTCAGAGTTGTGTTTTAGAAAACATGTTCTGGCTGCTGTATGAGGAATGGGTTGGAGAAACCATGGGGGACATGAAGGAAGCAGATAAAATCCATACATCTTGGCAGTCCACACATTTGTATGAGAGACAAGGATTTCCCCCATCATCATGTGTGCTTTTCAGAGCTTATTTCCAGGTCTTCCCCTCTCCTTGTTCCAGCCCACGAAGGCCCTGTTCTGTGCACCTCAAGCCCTCTCTTTCTTCTTGGTGCTTGGAATCTTTCAGGTCCTGGCCAGTCTAATCAGGCCTCTCCTACATCATAAGCTTCACTGATATGCCAACCTCCTACAGTTCTCAGAAGAACTGCAAATTCCCAGAAGCAGGATGGCTGTAGTCTACTTCTGGTTGGTGCCTCTCTCACTCCAGCTGTCTTTGCCTTTAACAATCAGGTCGGAGGACGGCTCAGATGCTGCCAGTGTGGGAGGCCTGTGCTGACACTCTGGCAGACCTGGCTATTGTTGCCTTTGTGGCTTGTGATGTGTGTCTAGACATCTAGGAATCATCTCTTTTCTCTTTTATTTATTTGTTGTTCTTTGGCTGTTTCATGTATGATGAATTTTAATCATTTCCACCCTAGTACCCTGTTTCACCCCCCTTCCTCTCCTGCTGAAACCCTTCTTCCCCAGTCCTTCTCCCTCTTTAATGACCAGTGTGTGTGACCCCTGGGCCACCTGCTTGAGTGTAGCTGGAGGTTATTTACCAAAACATGGACAACGTATCACCACTGAAGAAAGTGACACCCTTCCTCTGCTGCTGCTAACTACCAGTAGTCCTTCAGAGAGGGGTGGGGCCCCATAAGCCTTCCATGATGGAATGTTGATGTTAACCAGAGCCACAGGGAGGTAGTGAGTGCACCATGTCATACCCGGAAGACAGTTTTACAGCATTCCCCAACCTTTGGTTCTTAAACTCTTACCACCCCCTCTTCTGTGATGTTCCCTGAGCCTTGAAGGAGAGGATATAGCTGTCCCGTCAAGGCCAAGCCCTCCACAGTCACTTTGCCTCTGCACTTGAATGGGTTATGAGTCTCTGTGTTGACCACCAAACACCACAAAAGCAGCTCCTCAGAGCCCAGCAGCATCACTTATTAGCAGATGGACACAGATAGCTTGCAGCCCAAGAAAGCCTGGAGCTCCCGGAGGGCAAGGACAAAAGAAGCCTTCAGTATGGGGTGATGATGGGAAGATGATGGCTTATGGAGGGGTGACCATTTGGACTCGTTGTCCTTATAAGCTAGTTCATTTCAGCTCATTTTGATGTGTGTCTTTGTGTCAGGGCCTGTGCTCAGTTACAAGGCTACAGAGCTGCAGTGACACGGACCCTGACCACAAAGGACCTTACCATCCACTCCTCTACTGTGTAGCAGACATAGTACATGGCACCCCTGTTTCTTATACATCTCCAGCTACCTCAAGACCCTGCAGAATTAGACAAGTATCCTGGGGTAGCATAGATAAAGCTGACAAAGTCAGGGGAGGGAGATGGCCTACCTGGCTGAGGTTGGGGGAATATTTTATAAGGAAGCATCTTTGAGATGGCCTTCTGGGGCTAAGATTCCAGTACCCAGAGATGGGTTTTCTTCCAGTGGAAACATAAAGAGGGTGACTGGAGGAATAGACAAGGAGTAGGGAGGAGTCTGAGCAACACCCCCAAGACATGCACAGTGGCAGCTAAGATTGAAAAAGGAATGAGCCTGACTGTAGGCTATGAGTGTCAACCCAAGAGACTTGTCCTGTGGGTGATGAGGTCTTCCCAGATGTGAGGAGGGAGGAGTAGCCAGCTCCCACAACTGTTTGGGCCTCATTGTCACAGGTTGCCTCTGTTTTCCCTTCTTTTGTTTCGAATGGCAGTTTTTGGACCTTTCCTTCAACAGCCTGACTGAGGAGGCCATCTGTGACCTGGGGATTCTGCCGCATCTTCGTGTGCTGCTCCTCACAGGCAACGGGCTCACCTCTCTGCCACCCAACATGGCTGTCAGAGAACAGTAAGTTCCACACCCTTGAGTTTTTCCTGTGTGTCCCCTCAGAAGCCTGAGTCCTGACATCAAAGGTATGGTTCAGAGCAACTCTTGGAAATTCTGTAAAGACAGGCTCTCATGCCTGAAGAGAGAATGCTGCCTGCTCACCCGTCTAGGAAGGGCCTCCAGTGGATGCTTTCCTGTTTACTATTAAGAGATATTAGAGCTAGGCATGATGGGGCAAACCGTCAATCCCAGCATTTAGTAGTCTGACGCAGGTCAATCTCTGTGAGTTCCAGCCAGTGAGACCCTGTCTCAAAACATACATGCACACATGTATGCACACATGAACACAAACACACATATGCAAACATGTACATGGGTGAGCGCACGCGCGCGCACACGTGCGCATGCACACACAAACACACACACATGCGCGCGCGCGCGCGCGCACACACACACACACACACACACACACACAAAGCCACTGCCTGGATGTTTCTTTGGGTGTTGCTCTTGCTAGCTGCTCCCCTTGTAAGCCCTCTATCCCAGGTCCTTGTCTGCTTGCTGGTCTCTAAATCAGCTTTGTGCACTCCCATCTGTGCCTTTGTTGAGGCCATTCCTTCTGCTGGAACATACTGACTTTCTTTTCTGAATAATACCTAAGTGGCGTTTACTGTGTCAGACGCTGTTCCCCACACCTTGTGTTCCTTCATTTAGCTCTCCTGACAGTTTTATGGCCAGGTGATTATCATCCCATTTTTCAGATGAGGAAATTGAGGTAGAGACAAGTTAAATTGCTTCCCCCAAATTCACAAAGCTAGTTTCTCACAGAGCCAAGATTTGAATCAAGTTTTTTTGACTGGAGAGGCAGAACCTGCAGTCATCATCATGGCTTCTCATATACATTGATCATATCCCAAGGCCCAGCTCCTATCCTACTTCCTCCCTTTTCTAAGCACCAGGCAAACTGAATGTTTTCCTAGTCTAATACTTGACTAGTCTGCTATAACCTGGGCCACCTAGACATGTATCTTTGTAGAAGGTGGACAGATGGCCTCTCCATAAGGGTCGGGAGGACTCTCAGAGCAAGGGCTCTGTCTCAGTCATCAGTGATCTATAGCAGCTAGACATGCTTTTCATGTAATATGTAGCCAATTGATGCTGGCCAATAGAGACTGGTGGTGATGGTCCTAGTGATGATGTCCATTGCCATAAAGAAAGGTAAGGTGACAATGACAGTGGTGATAGCAGGTTGTTAGTCACTCCAGGGGGTTGGGATAATAGTGACCATTGGATTATTTTGTTTTCAAACTGTATTTCACAAATCCAGTTCAAACTAACTGAGACAGAAAAGGTTATTTACTAGTGGTAACATGCACCTATAATGTCATATGTGAGAGATTGAGGCAGGAGGATCATGGGAGTCCAAGGTTAACCTGGATTACGTAGTGAGACCTTGTCTCCCATAGAAAAAGAAAGAGGAGGACTGGAAAGTTGGTTCAGCAGTTAAAAGCACCTTGTTGCTTTTGGATCAAATACCTGGGTTAGTTCTCAACACCCACACAATAGCTAATAATCATCTGTAACTCCAGTTCCATAGGATCCGATGCCCTCTTCTGGCTTCTGTGTGTACTGCATACATGTGGATAGACATATATGCAGACAAAGCACATTAAATATATACATACATACATATATATATTTAAGGAAAGGAAAGGGGCTGTGACAGACACCCATGAAAAGCTACTTAAAGGGAGGAATTGTTTATTTTGGTTATTGGTTTTAGCTGCTAGTCCTTGATTCTCTTGACCCTAGGCCTCAGTGAGAGGCAATCAGGCTGATGGGAGTCTGTGGCAGGGGTTACCAACATCAGGGAGGGGGAGAGTCAGAGTGAGACCAGAATGGGAGGAGTACCAGATGCCCCAAGGACCTTACCCAGGAAATGACTTCCTGTAGCTAAGCCTCACTTCCTAAACTTTTGGCCCCTCCCAGAAAAGCCCCACCAGCTAGGGACCTACTTTTTAGTATATAAGCCATTGGAGGGGCTATATTACATACTCAAACCATAACTTTCCTATTATGATTTCTGAAATTTTCCATGATAAAATGCCAAAGATGACCCCTCTCTACTCAGAGCAAGCAAATTCTCTAATTGCAATATGTTTCTGTGGGTCTGACTGAGACTTGTCCTATCATAGAGAAAGCCTCCTTCCTGATGAAGCTGTATGCAGGTGTCTAAGAGTAAGTGACAGACATCATAACAGAAGTTGCATAAGGGACCAAGAAAAAGAAAGACACCCAGAACCCTGACCCATCATGTCCCCAATTCTCAGCTACACAAATACAGCATATTCATTTTTAGGACTTTTCAGTTTGAAAAGTGATATATATATATATATATATCAGAGCTGAACATGGAGGGAAGGGGTTACAGCTGACAGCATGGAGCCAGATGACTCACCCACTCCTTGGAGCCCTAATTTCTATGTCTCCTCTCCATATTTAATTCCCACACAAGGGTGTCAACCACCATAGGCTTCATGTGACTTACATCTGAAGACTCACCCTCCTCCACCATGGGCTGAGGTGTTGTTCCATCAGCTAATGTATCTGTCTCTGAATGACTATTGCCATAGAAGTTTAGGAGCCAGGCATGGTAGTAATTGCCTGTAATCTCATCACTTAGAAGAGAAAGGCAGGAGGGTTGAGAGTTCAGTGCTAGCCTGAGCTACATCATGAATTTGATGTCAGCCTGGGAGCCTGGGCTGTACAATGATACTGTCAAAGAAAAAGAAAAGAAAAAACACACATATCGAAGTTTTATAACCTGAAAACTAAGTTATGAACTCAGTGCTCATCTAACAACTTATATGTGCAGTACATGTACACAAGCTCATGTACACAAGCTCATGTACACACTCATATGTATATAAAATCAAGAAAGAAAACATAATGAAAAATTCATAATTGCTATAGTCATCTTTGCAGGCAGATTTTCTTTGGGCCACCAGCTCAAAAAAAAAAATGACATGGAGATTTAATTATGAAAGCTCTTCCTTAGCTTAGGCTTTTTTTTTCTAATTAGCTCTTATAACTTAAATTAACTCTTTTTAAATCTACATTCTTCTACATGCTCATTACCTCATCACTGTCATGCTCATCTGGTTATTCCATGCCTGGCTGGTGACTCTGCCTTCTTCCCAGCAGTCTCTCTGCCTCAAAAATCCTGCCTGGCTTTTTATTAAACCAATCACAGTGACATGTCTTCATACCATGTAAAGGAATATTCCTCAACATTTCCCCCTTTTCATCTAAATAAAAAGTAAAGGGTTTCACTCTAACATAATGAAACTATAAATAATAAGAACAATTAGCAGGTATGAATTACATTTACAATGTCTGTCCATTTGTATTTGGCATTATTTGGAGAAAATGCTAGAATTATTATTCTATCTTGATGAGTCCAAAGCTCTGTACCTAATTTACCTTCCATCATAACTAAGGCATCCTGTCTTCAATGCCATCGAAGACTTCAGAAGGATATGATATTACTGAGCAAACAGGAAGTGTAGTGCAAACCACTTTCAAACCTATAAAATGACAAAGACATCTGGCTGCCTGGACAGTCACCCAAGGTTTCTCTGAAACATTGTAGCATCAAATCTTTACTCTTCAGGCCTAAAATATCTGGCAGATTCTTCTATGAAGCCAGAATTTTAATGGACTGTCCTTCCTTGTTTTGGCGAAGTTCAGCAGTTGTATCCTACAGAATATCTGGCAGACTTTTCTATGATGCACGAATTTTGAAGGACTGTCCCACTCTATCTTGGCAAAGTTCAACAGTCTTTTCCCTTTGTGTCTGCTTGTCCAGTTTGTACAGTATACTGTCAACATTCAAGACAAGAGAATTTTCTTGCCAAAATGGCTAGTTTTGCCACATTGAAAGCAAACTTCATATGGAGTTTCTTCGATGCCCATCATTTTCTCTGAAGTAAATTGGTGCTGCCAGGAGCATGTGTCTCACTGTCATGAAAAGCCCTATGTTTACAAAACATTTTAAATGCCATGTTCTGTAGGTCTTCAAAGCTTTTGAAGAACATTATATCTGTCTAAAATATATCTGTTTGACCTTGAAAATATACCTAACAGTTTGATTGTTATAGGTGACTAACTACTAACCTACATTTCTTTATTATCCTAGATAGTTTGTAATAATAACTTTCAAGGACTAAACTTTACAGTACATTGTTAAATGAGCTCCCTGGAGTATAATACCTTAAACAAGAGTAGAAGTATGTATAGCATGTTCTAACAAAAATAACCTTAAATTTGTATCAATATGAAAAAATCCATACCAATGTAAAATATTTGAGACTGGCAGTGTTCAAAAGTAGATTAAATAATCCACTCTTTTATCTTATCATTTAAAATACTATATCCTGAAACTAATTTTCTTTGTTCAGTTTTGTTTTGTTTTGTTTTGTTTTGACCATGAACAATAATAATTTGTAACCAATCTACTTAAATGATGATAAACATCCATAACCCACCTCTTGGGAATGTGGGCATCATGTTCTCTAGACTACTTCCTATTGTCTGGGGGACCCTGAGAAAATTAGGATAATGGTCAAGTCCTGGATAGAATAGTTTGTGAGGCTGAACCATCTCAGCCAGCAGCCCTGAAGCAGTTCTGGATGCCGAACTTTGAACAGAGGCACTCTGAGAGGCTGGATCACCTGGGTCATCCATTTTCACTGGTGTCTGGTCCCCTTGCTCTGAAAACACACAAACTTTTAAAGGTAACATATGTGTCTACATCAACACAAGTATGAACTGTGCATTGTACCCAAGCCAGCTAAAGAGGATTGTTTTATGTTTGAAAAAGTAAAATATATGTCACCTGTTTTGTAGGGCTTTTTTTTAGGTTTATTTCCTTATGTCTGTAGTCAGGATTTTTAGGGGCTCTCCCCATAAAACCTGATCCTCTTTGACCTTGAATGAACCCACAGCTTTTCATTTTCTGT